CAGTTTCTGCAGGCGCCAAATCAGCTGCTGCTCCTGAAAATACAAACTTCACCAGTGGGGGCCTATTTCTTTGAGGCACAGGGAGGTAATTATTGCCTGATTAAGATGCTGAATCTGGGAGGAGGAACTGTCCAATCAGAGCTCAGCGGTGGCTCACTGGGGAGGAAGTGAGAGGAAGTAGGCAACGAGTCGAGGCTACCTGTGAGTGTCAGGAGGAACGCCTCTGATCCTTCAGCCTCACTGAGGTCGACTGAATCAACAAGTCGATCCGTGAACTTTGATCTCTTGACCTCAGCGTTCAGGTTTACATCTTCATCACCTGAAGAACTCTGAATCTTTGTCCTGGTTGGGTTTTCATCCCTCTGTGGTCAGTATTTGGATTAATCCGCCGCTGAAACTAGTCCCAATGAGAAGATGAAGACTGTTGTTGACTTTAATCAATAGAATTGTTGTTAAAACTTAAGTTTTTAAATTCTGAGGTAAACTTTATTTTCAAGGTTTGGATCAAATTAGGGTCAATTTTTGTTGACAATATTTAAAAAAGACAATATTTCTAATAATTTATAAACATTTTTAATTATTTTGAATATTTAGATTATTTTGTTTCCTGTTTTTTTATGTACAGTTGGATAAACTGATTATCTGATGAACTGACAGTCAGATGAACTAATAGTCGGATGATCTGACAGTTGGATGAACTGACAGTTGGATGAACTGACAGTTGGATGAACTGACAGTTGGATGAACTGACATCTCTGACGTCCCGGCAGCTCAGCTGACTCCTGTCCACTCGACAGGCAGATGAATCATCATGCTCTGTTTCTGTCGGACCGCCATCATCAGTCACTGAGGTGGGTTTTTTTTTTTTTTGGGGGGGGGGCAGTGTGATCTGTGTTAGAAATGGTCCGAGTAATACAGCAGGAAGCCACACCGTCATCAGGGAGATGACTACACCTACTGCCAGGCCGTCACCATAGAAACTGAGGTAAAGGTGAGCAGGGACACCCCCTCCCCCGCCACACACTCAACCCCCCACTCCTGAGTGCATATTCCATCTACAAAGTGTCAGAGTCTAAAACCACTCATAACGTTGAGTCTGAAAACCAAGGGGGTCAGAGGGGAGGGGGCTCCAGATGGTCCTCAGAGGTCGAGACAGCCCCGGTGCATCATGGGAACTGAGGTGGGCGAGTAACAGGCCTTCAGAGAGGGTCCAGTAGTCCAACATCCCCCCTGCAGGAGCTGCTCTGATCTGAGATCTGCTGATCCTCACCTGACCTTTGACCCTGCAGAGGGTCCCATCCAATAACTGGTTTTAATCTTTTCAGCATAAAGGAAAGAAAAAAACTTTATTCATTTAATTTAAACAATAAAAACGTTATTCATCAGTTAAGGAGAAGTTCAGTTCTCCAGGAGAGATTCTGAGTACAGCCGCTGCTCCTCCACATCCAGAGGAGCCAGTCGAGGAGGTTCAGGCACCTGGTAAGGATGGCCCTGAACGCATCATTAGGGAGGTGTTCTGGACAAGTCCAACTGGGATGAGACACCTGGGAAGTGAAACTTTTTTTTTTGTTTGTTTTGATAATTTAGATGCATCTTTATTTTTCCTAAATTTCTCCTATTGGACACAAATTTGAGTAAATTAAAGTTTTTGTCTTGTTGCGTCTCTTTTGGTCGACACTCGCGTCCCGGACGTCCAGACCACTGGAGTCCAATAAAACGACCATTAATTCATCGTGTTTAGTCCTTGGAGTGACTTCTCCAGGAATCTGTCTGTAAAGGTTATCAGACAGGCTTTAATGGTGCAGCTTCTGTCTTTTCTCCGTGCCTCTGGTTGTGTTTGAGTTTAAATCTGTGTCTCACAGCTGACATTCTGACTTTTCACACGTTATTAATCCGGCGGCAGCTTTTCCATCAGCCCGCAGATGTTTTCACACACGATTTCAGCGTTTCTGCAGGAAGTCGTCTCTGCCGAGCGAACGCTGCTCGTCTCCTCTGAAGCTGCAAATCTGCCGTCAACAAATTAGTTTAACACGCCACGCAGCCCGCCTCTCCTTTCTCCTCCTCCTCCTCTTCGTCTCCTCGGTCTCTTAGTCGCCTAATAAGTGAGCGTGCCCGTCAGCAGGACGCCGACCAACCGTTTGATCCTTCTCGCAGTGAGCCGAGAGCAGAGAGAGGCCGATAAATACTTGATTAAATATCTGAAGAAGCTCCCCCTCCTCGGCTCCTCTTCATAGCCTCCTCCTCCTCCTCCTCCTCCTCCTCAGATGGCAGCAAGAGCGGCGGCCTCCTCACACAAAGAGGAGGGAGAGAAAAATCAATCTGAATTAGGATGAAGAAAGTGGCACTGATGCCTGGAATCGCAGCATATGTTTACACTAAATCAGGCAATCTGTCTTCATATGGGGGGAGTAATGTAGGGGGTGGGGGAGGGGTCAAAGTTCATCATGCCAGCCAGCCGCTGCTCAGAGAGGACGGCGGGGAGGATAACGGGCCCTGAAGGCAGCCGATGGGAGCTGGAGTCAAAGTTCAGCGGGATTTTAATAATTAGCCTAATTTCTGCAGAGAGGGGGCGGGGCTTCAGTTAACACCATTCTCTGAACCTTCACGATGATCTACGGTCCACAGAGTTCAGAGACAGTTTTTTACAGAGGCAGGTATCACTTAAACGCATCATCCTCCTGTTTGTTTTTTAATCTTTCAACTCCTCTTTCTGTGACGAGGAAACTTCCTGTCAGCTGATTCAGGTTTCCTGCGACCCAAAACAAAGATGGCCGCACTGAAATTGTGACTTTTCTTAAAGGGATGCATGCCACTCGCCATCTTTCATTTCAGAAATTTAGACTAAAATCATCTCATGTTGAGAAGTGATGGAGTTACCCTCACAGTATGTGTTGGAAATAACTCTCAGCTACTACGACACCAAACTGTTGTGTTGGCTAAATGTCAATCAGCTGTGGTGGCCATTTTGAATTGGACTGACCCTAGTGTTGTGTTTCTGAGAGCTTCACTAATTTCTATCCAGAGGTCCATGAGATATTCCGTTAACGAGGCAGACGTTTAAAAATACAGCTGTTTCGTTACAGCGGTGGGCGGTAGATCCAAAAAAGGAATTTCTAAATCCAGAATAAAATGAGCAAAAACTGAAATCCAGTCCTAAAAATAAAGAAGATTTGAGATGCTTGTTGCAGTGGACAACAGGTGGAACGCATCTTCAATGAGGGACTTCGCCGGTTGAAGTCAAACGATCTGTTCATCCTGATTTTTTTGTTTTGATTAAAAAGTTGAAAATTCTCTTTCACCCAGCTGAAAACAAAAACACCAAGAAGGTGGATTTTATCTTCAAGAACTATTCTGGGGAAAAAAAAGTTCATTAAAATCAATCAGTGCGTTAAAAGTGGAGGTTCATTGAACGCATCATGATGTGGTTCCAGGTCAGAACCCTGTAGGTCTGAAGGAGACCATCTCAGCCTGACTGGGTAGTTCTGATCCAAACGAACTCCACAGTTCTCGGACTTGAAGTCGTGAAAAGTCTTGGGTGTTTTGTCGGCAGGAAGAAGTGATCAGATGAGAAACCTTCCTCCTCTGAGCCGAAACAGATTTATATTCTCCCGTCGAGCAGCTCACTTGTTTTCTACATTGGGCTGCTGGATCGCGGCGTTGGGAGGCGGTCCGGTTGGGATTTGCTGCTGATTGCTGCTCGACTCGTCCTGCTGCATTGTCTCCATTCACCCGCCGCTGCTCCGCGCCCGTCCAAAAAGTCTCTTTGGGATCGCACAATGAATCCCTCTTTGATTCGCGGCTCGTGGAGGTAATAGATTCCTCTCAGGGAGGCGGGAAGGCGAAAACATGGCCGCCTCGGCGCTGAGGGCACGTCCCTCAGCTCTCTGTCACCCTTCAGATATCATCCCCACCCGAGTCGCAGCCTGAAAGCCCCCTTTTCTCCGCCACCGCCGCATGAAACAGGCTGCGACAAATTTGATTTAGCAGCTCGCCGTCGCCCGTTCCCGGGAAAGAAAACAAATATTGTTATAATGGTAATAACATCTATTTGGAGCGGCGGCGACAAACGGCGGCGAGGCCTTTGAAGGGGGACCCCTCTGTGCTGCCGTAGAGCTGCCTGATTCTTATTCATGAAAGCTGCGGTTATGCATATTAGCACAAACTAGCTATTCTACTGAGCGGCGTTTGGAGTGTCAATCATCCTTACAGGATACAAGAGGCAACAGTGACAAAAGCCAAGTGGGCAAGATCGGCTGACAAATTGTCCCCAAAGTCAAATTTGACAGCCTTTTATGATTAATGGGCTTGATTATGGAGAAGTATCTCCCCAAACTCATTTCCGGCTTTTCTGCGGCTCTACTGCTGCTTCAGGAGACGAGGAGGAGGAGGAGGAAGGCTGATTGTTTGCAGAGGTGAATAAGTGGAGGAAAAGATGGGATTGAATTAGGTGAAAAGGCAGAGCGAGGTGCCTCACGTAATAAACAGCTTCTCTGTTAGCGCCTGCTGCTAACGAGACGCAGCCGAGTGAAGATCACTCAGAGGTCTCAGGTGGTTCTGAAGGTTCTCCTCACAGTCTGAACATCTACTGCCCCGGTTCTGAAAACACTTGGACGTAAATAAAACAGAACGCAAAGATTTACAAACAGAACCTCATGAACGTATCAAAAGCTCAAAGAAAAGAACGAAACATTTTGAATTTGACGGCAGCGTCAAGAAATTAAACTTCAGATTTCTTTCATCTTTGGGTTCTGGTTTAAATTGGATCCAAACAGAAACACAAAATGAACTTTTGACCCGTCAGAACTGAGTCTCACGGACTTTATAAAGACAAAAAGTAAAGAAGAAAACAATTCTGTAAAAATGTTTTAGTTTTTATTCTATTCCTCGGAATGGAACAGAACCTGTTTTCTGACTGAACCGGGTCCAGATGGGACTGGGTTCTGTCCGTGATGCGTTTGTGTGTCGGATTCTAACCGCCGGTCTCTCTGTCTGATCCGCAGCCCTAAACGAGCCCACCATCGACTACGGCTTCCAGAGGTTACAGAAGGTCATCCCTCGCCACCCCGGGGACCCTGAGAGGTTACCAAAGGTCAGTAGATACGAGTCATTAAGTGTGCCTCGCAGGTCAAAGGTCAGAGGTCAGGAAGCGAGCTTTGAGTTCGGCACGTTGGACCCAGGATGCACCTGTCAGTCAGAACCGAAAGCAGAGGTTTGACCCTCTGAGGACACACCTGAGGCACAGCATCGGACCTACAGAACCTGACCGGATCTGTTGGTTCTGATTAGTGCTAGCAGTCCACATGGTTCCGAAGCTTTCAAACAGGAAGCAGCTGTTTCTGGGATCCAGTGGATCTTTACAGTCAGGACAGTAATCTGAGGCGTTCACTGACAGTTTGGCTGCAGGAAATCTGTCGCTGCACATTTCTGTCAGGTTGGACAAACTTCTGATGAAACCGTCTCGCAGTAAAACCTGCTGATGTCTTAACTGCAGAGGAACTTATCTTCTCGTTTCCTCTCGCAGCTTCAGGACAGCCCAAACAGAAAAACTGATACATTCATATCGTTCAGGAACGCTGAGCTCGGAGCTGCTGTTTTCACATCTTCAACACTTTTTACACAACCGCAGGTTAACGGTGGATTTTAACACAGAACGTTCAACTCACCGGTCTGGTATCCGTCTTCTTCCACCCGGTCTCTCTGCTGTAGGACTCAGTTTTCTCCAAACTCTCATCGACTTCCATTGAATCTGAGCTCAGAATTCTCTCTTCGAACAGGAAGTGAAGACTTTCTTTTAACTCGTCATATCTTCTGTATAAGACAGCACGGTGGTGCAACTGGTAGAGCTGCTGCCCCTCAGCGAGCAGGTTGCTCTGGTTCAAATCCCGGTCCGGGGGCCTTTCTGGGTGGAGTTTGCATGTTCTCGCCGTGCATTCATGGGTTTTCTCTGGGTGCTCCTGTTTCCTCCTACAGACAGAAACTTGTATGTTAGACTGATTGGTAACTCTAAATTGTCCCTAGGTGTGAGTGAGAGAGTGGATGGTTGTTTGTCCCTGTGATGATTTGTGACCTGACCAGGCCCCGCCTCTCGCACAGTGATGGCTGGACATGGGCACCAGTGACCCCCGCGACCCAAAAAGGAAGAAGCGGGTAAAGATGATGGATGGATGGATCTTCTGTATAACAGTCGCACATTTGTGTTGATTTTCATAGAAGCAAGTTGATGAATGTTGGCGTTCCAAGCTTCCTTTAACATTTCAGCAAAAATATGTTGGATATTTAAAAAAAAGAAAAACCTTTTCAGGCCTCATAACTGACAGGAGCCATCAAGAAGGATTAATCAATATGTTCATAAAGAGTTGGCATTAACATTCAGTTGAAATGAAACTATTTAAAACACAAACAAGAAAAATAACTTCCTGCTCCATAAAATATAAACGTCATCTTCTTTAACGTCTCGTCAGCTCGATGACTCGGCTGCTTTTAACGCGCCGATCGATGCGATTGGATAAAGGATAACAAGACCAGTTAATGTCGCTGTAAAACGGTAGAACACGTTTTAAAGCCATTAAATTTTATGACCGAAGGACGAGCAGAGGAATCGATCACGTTCAGGTTGAACCTTCCACCTTCAGGAGGTGATTTTCTGTTTGCAAACACAAACCAGATTTCAAGTCAGCAGGCGGTTAGTGAGCAGCTGACAGGAAACGCAAACCATCAGCGCAGGAATCACTTTTTACCCTCAGACACATATTTGTATTCGCCGGCGGTGTCGGCGTGCAGCTGTGCGGCCGTCAGGTGTCCTGGTTAGTATGAAGACATTATTGTGGCTGGAGGAGCCTAACTGAGGCAGATTCTGCGAGGCAGCGAGCGGCGCCGGCCCCCGCTCCGCCTCAGATGGGCCCTGACACTCCAAAGCTGCTGCCAAATTGAAACCATTTATCAAAATCTGACATCGGAGATCCAGTCACCAAAAAAGCAGTTTATTTGTAAATTGATACTAATAGTGAGCACACATTGTCTGGCCCCTTTGATGGCCTGATTTACAGCCGGAGTGGAACATCCAGCATCCTGCTGCCGCCTGCTGCTAAATATTCATTTATTCAAAAGAAAACTCAATAAGGCCGCGGCGAGAGGAAAACCCCGCGGTGCGAGGTGACGGAGCGGCGTGTCGGCGGTGACCGAGCAGAGACGGGTTAACGCCAGCTGTCACTTCTCTTTTGTTTTCACCTGCAGATGTCGCTCCGCAGTCGAGATGGAAAGAGACACGAAGACAGATTGATTTGTTGTTGGAGGACGGTGGAGAGAAAGGGTTAACACAAAAACAAGAGATAAATAACAACAATAAGGAAATAAACAGCCGACTTGTTTTATCTGACAGATGGAGAACTGATCTGAAACAGGCTCAGGTTTAGCATAGCTTAGCACAAAAACTGGGATCAAAAGGAAACTGTTAGCCTTCCTGTTCTCACCTGGAATCACAGGTGTACAAATCTGATTTTGGAACAGAGGAATAAAATGTTTAGATCCAATCAGATAATAATTATAAAAGTGCTACGTAAAACCGTCTTTGGTCTAATCATAGGGTCAAACTCTTTAAAATATTTATATATATATGTATATATATGTATGTATATATAAATATATATATACACTTTGCTTTTTTTAATGCAATGTAGTAAATTATTCTTCTGAAAATATAAATTTATTTTTCCTCAGACATGTCAAATTTAGAGCCTAACATTAAAAAACGTTAATGATTGTTAAGCTTTGCTTTAAATCAGTTACTTTCCTTCTTAGAAATACATTTTTTCATCAAATAATTTGAAATATTTCTTCATAAAAAATGAAATAAGAAAAGATACATTTAAGCAGATGTTATTTGCTGTGATGGAAGTTTGTCCTCAAAAATGTGATAGTTCCATGATCGTGATTGTTCTTTTCTGGTCAACATGTTGGTGGAGATCCTCAGGACTCCAGGACCTGGAGATCCTCAGGACTCCAGGACCTGGAGATCCTCAGGACTCCAGGACCTGGAGTTGTTAAGGGCCTTCTCTTGTTTGTTCAGAGCAGTTGTGGGCACAGTTTCGCTAATCTGCTAACATTCTCGTTTAGCGGATTGGCTGTTTTGCTAACTTTAAAATCTGTTAGCGGAATTAGATTCCTCTAAATTAGGTGTCGCCAACTTTAAGTCTGCTAGCTAACAAAAGCCACAAGCTTGTTCCAGTCTTGTGGGCGTGTCTCAAAGAGTTTGTTAGGCACGTTATTGGCTGAGTACGTATACATGTGATGTGATTGGTCAACACAGCTTCAATTGGAAGAAGATGAAGACGTGTGACGCAGACTGAGTGACAGTCATCAGCGGTTTAGCGTTAGCAAAGTAAATTTTGTAGTTAGATGATTACGTGTTAGCAAAGCTAACTTCTTGGTTAGCTTTGCCCACCACTGGTTCTGAACATTTTGGTTATCTGAGGAGATTTCGCACTTCAGACTGTTGTTTGTTGAGTTTCAGGCTTTTAAACTGCAGTGAGCTGAACTCACGTGCACATCGCTCTCCTTCTCCTCTCTTTTCTGTTGAACTGATCCAAGTGAGAGAAGTTTCAGTCACATGCATGAAGGTGTGAACTGGAGCGAAACTGCACTGAAGGTTCTGAACAACTGAGATGATTATAAAGTTGTTCGTCTCATTTAGCAAACATGGCTTCCTTCCACTCCTTTAACTGTCGGTCGTCTCCGTCCAAAATATAAACATTACTGTCCTCGAGTGTCCTTGAGACGTAAATGGACAGCCGAGTCTTGGCCTGAACACTGGTTCTCCTGGGATGGTTTCAGAGGCCCCAGTGTTGTCTGAAACACGTTTTAAATTTGTAAGTTTTTGATTGTTTCTTCAAATATTGGACACATTCTGATCGTAAAGTTCCACACTCCGTGCAACACTTTCAAAATAAAATGCGATGGTAGAAACAGATGCTCCAAGTTGTTTCTGTTTTCTCTCCGGAGGGGGTCGGCGTGTGAAAAAAATCACTCCGACTGGAAAAACCCAGTGAACAGTCTGGAGCGTCACCACCACGTACCGATGTTATTTTAGAAGAACGGTTGTTCAGATACATTTTCTAATTCATCCATTTTAATTGGACTTTGAATGTTTGATGATCACCGCCCAGCCACCATCTGAAAACACATTTGCTCCACATCGCATCATCTCAAAGATCTGTTTTAAATTATTTTACAGGTTAATAAAAGACTGCCTTGAAACATCCATAGACAGAAAATGTAATTTTTAAACATTTGGTTGACGGAAAGAAAGTCTTTGAATCCTTGTTAGAAAGAGAATTATTGTTTTTGTTTAATTTTTCGATGCTGTTCCAGATGTTGTATATCAAACTGGAAATCAGATTTGTGGTCTGGACTGGATCCAGGAGAACCCTCCGAGGTTGTCGGTGGCTCCGCACCCTGTAAACCCACCGAAAACTGCAGAGTTATGGAATAATTTAGATAATTCAGTTCTAAACACGTTTTAGGTTTTTCTATGATCTGAAGCTTCTCTCTGTGGTTCCTGAACCGTGAGGTGGAGACGTGTTTGTAGCATGTGCACCTTCAGCTCCGATCGTTGACCCTCATGCGGACTCGCAGGGCGGCCCGTCCGGTCAGGGATTATTAATTCCAGCTCGCTTCATGAATGAGGAAGTTTCCAGTGTTCATTGAGAATAATGAGCTGAATTTTAACCTCGCACCGCGTCCCACTTCGTTAGGAAAACTCTCCGCCTGATGATCACTAATCTGGAGATCCGGAGTGAGAAGAACCTCCTCCTCCTGCAGGTCCATCCATATTTTATAGAGATGGGAGGAGGAGGAGGAGGAGGTGTAGAGCTGTGCTCAGGGTGATTTATCATTGTTAAGACCGCTGTCTGATGGCTTCTCCTCCAGGGTCACGCTGATCCCTGCTCGCCTCGCACCTCCTCAGCCACGGAGCCGGCCCCCCGTAATTAAGCCCCTAGAAACCAATGGAAGAAAATAGAAAAGGAGAGCGAGGGGGAGGAGGAGAGGAGGAGGAATATGTCAAGAGATGGACAGAAGAAGGGCAAGGGCATG